TCGCACGTACCGACCCCAGTCCCCAATATTCCCATTAAAAAAGAATAAATTAAATAATAAAGAAAAGGAAAGGAAAAAATCCAAGGGCTGTTTAGAAAAAGAAAAAAGAAAACAAAGGGGGAAAAAAAATAAAGGAGAAAAAGCAATGGGAGGGGAGATAGCAGCAGAGACAATGACGAAGAAGAAGAAGAAGAAGGGACGACCGTCTCTCTTAGAACTCCAAAAACGCTCTCTCAAACAACAACAACAACAGGAGCAGCAGCAATCGCAACAACAAAAAAACCCTAATCTCATAAACCCTAATTTTTCTACCAATTCGAACCGCCGATCCACTCGCCGGAACCCCAATCTCGATGGAGGCTCCCCGGTGCCCGAATGGATTGACGGAGGAGACGACGACGACGACGAGCGCCAACAGAAGAAGCATAAGCTATTGCTTGGCCTCAATTCTTCTCGTAATCGTCAGCATTATCCAAATTCTTCAGCGCCCAATTCGGCCTCCTACGGATCCGATTCGAATGCGGATGGTGAGGATCCTGAGGCGTCCCTCAAGCGCCGCAAAGTTGCCTCACTCGGTCCTGGATCTGATCAAATGGTGATTAATTATCCATTAATATATATATTTTGGCGTCGAAATAGCTTTTCGTGGGTTTTTGAAAGTGAATTTTTTTAGAAACAGAAAGAAAAAAGGTTTTCCTTGTACGTTTGGATATTGATTTATTTATTTTTTTGAAATTGAACTTTTGGATTGCGCGCGTGAATTGAATTTTTGTGATTGGATCGGAGATGAATGACCGAGTTTGACTAAGTCATGTGCTTTTTTTTTTTTTTTGGGTTACTGGATATTTATTTTACCTTTTTGGATTTTTGGAAATCTTGAAATTGTTTTGAACACAGTTCTGCTTTCTTTATTTCCTAATTTACGAATTTTCCATTATTATTTTATTTTTGTTGTCTTGTGTTTAATCTGACCTTTATTTATGTGCAAAATAATGGATGCACAGACCATCATGTCTGAAAAGCTTCAATTTGTCTTTTATTTTCTTTAATAATAATAATTCAAAGTTTATTTATTTTTTCTCTTGTACTTGCTTTGCGTTGTTGTAGCTTTTTACTGTAACTTCCTCACTGATTCTTCGAAATCCAAAGCAAATATCTCCACCTAGAATTTTTATTTTGGGAGTTAAATAAATATATAATATATGTTTGTAATTGATAAGAGAGTTTATCTTGCCTGCAGGGAGAAAAGGCATCGAAAGCGACAGAGACTCTTCATGGTATTAATCAATCTCTGGGTCATTTCTGGGAATTCTTAAAATAAGTGTTGGGTTTTGGTAATTAAATTAATTATTTGTCATTTATATGTGGACAGGGTCACCGGTGGATTCTGGCTCCACGACACCTTTGCCAGACAAAAAATTGTTGGTGTTCATTCTAGACAGGCTGCAAAAGTATGTGTTATTTTTGCTTCATTCGATTTCTCCTTTCTTTTTTTTTTTTATCATATCTTCTTTTTATTGGGTTTTGATTGTTTCTCCTTAATGTTGCAGGAAGGACACTTACGGGGTTTTCTCTGAGCCAGTGGATCCTGAAGAGGTGCACTTTCTTTTTCATTATTGCATAAATGTAGATTAATGAAAAGTGAAATCCCAGTTCATGAGACGATGTTGGATTGATTTGATACAGCTTCCTGATTACTTTGACATTATTGCACACCCAATGGACTTTCAGACAGTCAGGAAAAAACTTGATGGGGAAGCTTATACAACCTTGGAACAATTTGAGGTGTGTTTTGCAAGCTTTCTCTTTGCTATGTGCATCCAATGTCCATCAGTCTGTCTACCCTGGGACAAAGTGGACAGGACAGTTGATTAAGTTGTTTGACTGCTTAAGCTTCAATGACGATTAAGATTCTGTTCATATTTTCTGGATCTATCTTGTTGGTTTGTGTGTTTTCACAAAAATGTTGTGTAAACCCAGTCATGTTTTTGCCGCCAATCAAACAAGTCTTACTAGAATAGGGAGGTACACAGTGACTTTTGAGATTACTGTGGTGATGTTGACTATGATGTTTTAGTACTTCATATTAAGTCCAGTAGCCATTTGGCCAGTTAAGTGTTAAAGACTTTTTAGTTTGGTTTTGGGAAGATGGATTATGTTTCTACTTGCCCTTGACTTTTTTAATTCTTCTTTTACATATAAAATATAGTTCATTTCTGCTGCCAATGATTTGCCCTGGATTTGTGGAATTTGATAGTAAAACTTGTTTTGTTTAGTTTGGGATCATAAC